TGGAACAATAAGTCGAACCAACGACAATAATAAAAGGCGTTTGTTGGGAGGCAACCCAATGGTGTGTGACCCAACTTCCTCTCTTGGATAAGGTGAACTCTTTCCTTTACTTCATATTCTATTCTCTTATGTGCAAACTCTAAGTTTGGAGGTTCGTAGTGTTAGATGTCTATGTGTTTGAGTTGTTGAGTTAATGTCTTTGAACATATGTTAATTGTATGTGGAACTTTGCGATGATGATATGAGAGTTGTTTTGAATTTATTATGCTAGTTTAAATGACTTGAGTTATTTATATTCAGTTAAATATCTTAAGGTGTTTTTGTTTTGGGATCAAGAGCATGAGGTTGATATTTTTGTTATTTATTTATGACGAGTTGATTTTAAATCAAATTGTATTGTTGAGATGTGCTTGGATTATCTTGATCAATGTTGGCTATATTTGGTGACTTACTGTTGAAAGTCGGTGTTTGATGTCTTGTAGTTGAAAATAATGAATAATGAGGTTGGAGGTTAGAGAATAATTGGTGGAGTTGAAAAGCCTTCGGTANAAAAAAAAAAAAAAAAAAAAAAAAAAAAAAAAAAAAAAAAAAAAAAAAAAAAAAAAAAGATTGGAGTTATGGGCTGCAATAGCTGCCAATCCGTGGGCTCTAGTGTATAAATAATTCTTGTATCGAAACAATCACGAAAGACTAAAACTCACGGGTTATGACGGAGCTGTTGTTCCCTACTTCACAAAAACAAAAAAAAAAGTAAAAAGAAAGAGAAAAAAATTGGAGAACGAGACATTTGAATTTCGGCTAGAAACGGAAAAAAACTAGACTAGTTAGCAAAGATAAAGGTGTCATGAGTTTCATTGATCGATGGATTCGTTAGAGAGACTGACGATCTATGGTGTTCACTTAAATTGATACTTAATTTTTTGAGCTCTTTTAATGAATTTATTTTGAGTCCAGATTAAGTGATTCGAGTTGTTTGAACCATGTCCCTATGTGAGAATTTGTGAGGTCCTGAGTAATATTCTACCTACTTGTTTATATTTATCTATGTGCTTTTAGTTCTAAGTTGCTCGAGGACAAGCAACGGTTTAAGTTTGAGGAGATTGGATAGGTAGAAAATGTACACTTTTTATATATTTAATAGTATATTTTTATATATTTAATTTATTCGCACGTTTATATTCTTTGACTTATTTATTATTTAGATGGATTTATTTGCTTTGATGTTTTCGTATTATTTTTAGTATTTTGGAGTGTTTCGTGGACGTCGAGACATTAAACGAATTTCAGCCGATAGAGTACGAGTCGCCGCATACCAGCCCAAGCTCATTGACAAAGTTAATTTAGCCAAAGACTTGATGAATTGGGTTTAAAAGTGTGTCAAGACCCAGTAAATATGATTAGTGATTTTTGCCCAATAAAGATGATAATCATTTTGGCACAAAGGCATGCAGCTGGGACATTCTTTGGTGGGGGGAATTAATTAAAAAGGTCGAGTCTTCTGGGAGCAGGAGAGTTGATTGACATGGACTTATTTACTTGATTTGCGAGAGAATTCTTAGTTTAAATTCAATTACTACGAGAATCATCACAATTTAATTCCTATTCCTCGTGGGATCGACCCTTACTCGCTACTACTACGAGTTAGTATAGGTTAGTTGAGGAAAAATTTATAAATTTAAATTTTACGCGTTGCGACGTGCGGTCACCTTCCAATGAATTCCTTCCTTTTGCTCCTCACCTGAACTCCACCACAATCATGCACACAACTGTGAAATCCATTGGCATAGACCCTTAGGTAGATAAAAGCATGACATGATAAAAACTAGGAGAGCATTCAGAACTGATTTGATTAATACCACTTTTACTATAGTAGATAGGATTTTGTTGTTCCAACTACTTAACTTGTTCTTTATAGTCAGGAAAACAAATTCAAATGATTCCCTTCTTGATTTACCTTTTCCCAATGACATTCAAAGGTATTTGTAAGATTTGTGGACTGTGACCCCTCCAAGAGTGACATATGTCTAGCTGCAGCTGAGCATGAGTGTTCTTGTTGAAAAACACTGAGGATTTCTCTAAGTTGACCTTATGGCCTGTGAAACTCTGGTACTTTTTCAAAATATGGAGTAAGAGAGAGGCTTGATTGCAATTGGCAGCACATAACATTAAAGAATCATCAACAAACAATAAATGCGTGAGAGAAGTCCCCCTTCTAGCCATTTTCAACCCTTTATAATTCCCCAATCTAACTTCAACAACTATTAATCTTGAAAGCACCTCAAACATAAGAATAAAAAGGTTGTATAGAGGATCCCTTTGCCTAATCTCTTTTGTTGTGGTAATGTATCCACACACGTCTCCATTCAGATTAAAAGAGAAAGTCGAAATTGAGATACAAGCAGAAATCCATTTCACAAACATAGAGTGGAAATCCATTTTCAACATAATTTTAATTATATTGTTGTGCTCAATTCTATCATATCCCCATATCCAGTTTCACAGCCATATAATAGTTCCTCTCTAATCTATGCCTATTTAAGAAATGTACATCCTCTTGAGAAATAATCACATTATCCAATAATTGTCTTTCTAGTATGAATGCAGCTTGACTATCACTCACACACTTGCTCAGACAATCCTTTACTCTATAAGTGACTCCACAAAGTCTGATTGGTCAGAAACTACTTAGACAAATAGGATTTAGGCACTTAGGAATTAGCATGATCAGATTATGGTTCTAGTTTCTCAAAGCCAAGACAGATTCAAAAAAGTGGTAAACTACATCGCAAATATCCTATTTAACTACAGGCTAAAAGTGTTGGAAGAAAAGAGGGGACATATCATCTGCTCCAAGAGCCTTTTCTGGGTTAACAAGGACTTCTTGACTTCAGCCTCTTCTACTTTGGCCACTAACTCCTTGTTCATTTCATTAGTGATTGTAGAGAGAATAAGTTGTAGAATTTCCCCATAATCCAAGACCCTTATGACTGGAATAGTTGGTCATAAAAGATTATAATAAAGTCTTCAATTTTCTCTTTTGTTTCTCTGGCTTTATTCCCTCCATCCATCAGCCTTGTAATAGCATTAGCCTTTTTTCTTTACATAGTCAAAGCATCGAAGAACTTGGCGTTTTGATCAACTTCTTTTAGCCACTGGGTTCTAGCTTTTTGCTGCCAGAATTCCTCTCCAGAGCAGTAAGCAGTATCTAACTCCTTAATCCTCTCCCATTCCTCCCAATTCTTGTTTCCCCATTCCACTCTCATTTCATCGAAGCTCAGTGAAAGTCTACCAATAGCCTGATTTGCTGATTTGGAATTGCTGCTCCACTTTAGTAAAGCCACCCTAGTTATTTTGATTTTCTCCTTAACCTTAAACATAGGAGTTCCATCCTAGAGTGCATCCCAATAATGTTTTGCAATTTTATCATCACCTTTCATTTTCAATCTACCCTTATCAAATTGGAATCTCTTCTTCTTATTATTAGGAGCCTATGGATTTGCTTCAAGTGTAACCATATTATCAGAAGCACTTTTGAAACAGTTTGCTACTACAGACATCGGAATGACTTACCAACCAATCAAAAGAATCAAACACCATGTCTAGTTTTTCCACTATAAACCCTCATTCCTTTTGTTGCCCCAAGTGAATTTGTAACCGGTCATTATTACTTCAAACATTCCCATACAATGAGTAGAGTGAGTTCTTATTTCAGTGGTCTACTAGCTTTCTTTTTTCTTGTTTTTGTTGTTGCTAGTTGTTCAGATTGTGGGTGTAGTTACTGCAGGGTTTAAATGGGCGTGTTTGCCTTTGGTTTTTTTTTTTTTTTGGTTAGTGTTTGTTGCTTTCAATTTTGCTAGTTGAGATTCTAGGCTACCTTTCTTGTGGTTTTCTGGCTTCTTTTTTGTTTTGTAAGAGCTAGTTAGCCCTCTGGTTGTAAAACGTTATTCCTATTAACACGGAGTTCCATTTTCCGTTATGACCAGAAAAAAGAAAAAAAAATTAATAATAA